CCAAAATGACCTTAATGGCCAACTCAATCCTTAACCTGCCTCACATTCCTCTACATACATAGAGTACATGTGGCTGCTCTTTGGCCTTTATGTAGCCATTGTTACCTCCTCTCTGACCACGTTTCCTCCACACTAAGTACCCTCCCCTCCCAGTGTTGCTCCAGTAACTTCTTGGTGAGCTCTCCTAAAAGACTTACTGTAAACAGGATTAGAGAGCATAAAAAAATCCTCTCTCTCAAGTGCCATCTGCCTATCTACCTGAGCCAGGAGCTGTCCTCTCAGCACCATGGGAAACACCTCTCCCCGGGCACAGAGGAAAGCGCGAGCCCACAGTGTAACTGTGTCAGCAAATGGTTTGTGATTGGGCTTCTCTTATTCTTTGGGGTCTTCTTTGGAGAATTCTGAAATATGCAAACTCGTACTCAGTTTGTCCTACTGCTGTTGCGTGACTTGAGACGAAACACGTATCTCCTTGATCCTTTCCCAAGGCCACGGATCTAAGCACAATCACGGATTTAACATGAGCATCCTCTCGTGGAAATGTGTTTTCTACCCTGCTATGTTTGGTTTAATGGTCATATTTCTGGACCTAAAGACAGGTACGTGGCATTAGTTGACTTCAAAATCAAGCGTTCACTACTTACCCAAATGCACACACAAACTCTATATTTTAAACTTTGTTGTTGTTGTGCACCCCAGATGCAATGATGGAAGGTTCCTCTATGGGATACCTTGATCTGCCTTATACTCAGGAGCCTGTGGTGTTTCCACGCATCACTCACATATCTGAGGTGAAGCCATCGCGTGAGAGCCACGCGGTTATCTCTCGACAGAAAAGGAACATCCTTTTTCCAAGTGGAGTCAAACTGTGCGCGCAAGAGACCGCCGAGCAAGTCATTGCAAACCATCTGAGCTACTTTCATCTCAGAGGTAAGACCCAGTGTGAATCGGTGTTAAAAATGAATATTGTAAATGGAGTTTCATTGTCACTGTCACACCAAGGTGTGACCAAAAAGAACAAACAAACTGATTTTGAGAGATTGCCCCCTCTGTATCTTCCCCTTTGCGTGTCTACAGTGTGAAAAGATTTAATTCTCCAGTGGACGAGAGAGTTAACCTTTGCTGTGTTTAGATCCATCAGACTCAATTAGACTTCATTAGATTTGTATCAAAACAGATTGCTCCACTTATTGGGCCCATTTACTGAAATAACATCACACCACACACACTGGTAGCATCTACACAACATCAGGTCTCCATTAAAAGAAACCGTTGTTACCTACACTGCATCTTACCAGCCCTGCCGACGAGTTCTGGTGTGCTTTTAAAGGATTATTGCACAATTTAGCACTGCATTATATATTTTTATATTATCTACCAATAACCCACAATGCAATTTGACAGCCAAGTTGCATATTAGTAGGTAATGCTGCTTTAAAGTACTTTGCTTGGAATAGTTCATGAAATTAGCAATTCACGCAGACAAAAAA